ATTCTTGAAAACAACCCTTGATTGCTACATTCTTGAAAGTTTGGGGGTTGATCTCCTTAGCAAGACTTCATGTTACTTCCAAAATATAAACAGAGTTCTATTCATCGACATGCTTTATACCACAAGTCATTGCAAATTACCATCAGGGAAGAAATAACCTACTTTTGGCCATGTGGATTGTCTGAGTGGAGCATTACCAGGAGTGAGAGAAAGGTTTCATCATCACTGCTGAATTCCAATCCTAGCTGAGCTAAATAAAGCCAGGTGCCTCTTTACGGAAGAAAGATATAAAAAAGGAAGTGTTTGGCTTTTCCTCCGGCCCCCGCACTGTCTCATGTGGTGTCCCTCAGGGCTCTGACCTCGGTCCCCTCCTCTTCACCCTCTATATGCTCCCCCTTGTTGACATCATCCGCAGACATGGAGTTAACTTCCTCATGTATACGGATGACACCCAACTCTACCTTTCCTCCTCTACCCTCAACTCCATGACCACCGATGTCCTGACAGCTGCCTGTCCGACATCGAGTCCTGGACGAGAGATAACTTTCTTCAGCTCAACGTGCAAAAAACTGAGGCCCTCCTGATTGGCTCACGTCAGCGCCTCCGCACCTCAGGCGCTGACAGCATCAGCATCCAAGGCTGCACTCTCCACCTCTCAAAGCCGCTCAGGAACCTCGGTGTTCTGTTCGACCCTGAGCTGTTCTTTCTCCCCCATATCCGCGCCACAACTGGCACCGCCTTCCATCACCTCCGGAATGTCGCCAGACTATGGCATTACCTCACCCCTCACGCTGCTGAAACTCTGGTCCACACCTTCATCACCTCAAGGCTGGACTACGGGAACTCTCTCCTCGCCGGCCTTCCCGCCACCTCCCTCCACACGCTGCAGGTCATTCAGAACTCTGCAGCTCGTGTACTGTCCCGCACCAGGCTTCGGGAACACATCACTCCCACCCTCGCTCGCCTCCACTGGCTCCCCATCCCCCAGAGGATCGAATTCAAGATCCTCACCCTCACCTACAAGGCCATTCACGGCCTCGCTCCCTCCTACCTCTCCGACCTACTATCCCCCTACCTACCTGCCCGTACCCTCCATTCCTCTGGCTCCGGTCTGCTCCACATCCCCCGCCCCAACCGCCCTACCATCGGTGGTCGGGCCTTCAGCCTCTCAGCCCCGAGGCTCTGGAACTCCATCCCCCAGTGCCTTCGCCGCCTCCTCCCTTTCCTCCTTCAAGGCCGGTCTCAAGACCTTTCTCTTTGACCGAGCCTTCAGCTCCCCTCTCGACTCTCTACCCCCTCCTCGCTCCCTCCCTTCCCTCCCCTCACCCTGACCAAGTCCCCCCTGCTCGGGTCCTGACCAACTGTACAGCGCCTTGGGACATCCTCCCGACGTGAAAGGAGCTCTATAAATGGAATCTTGTTGTTGTTGTTGTTGACAGGTGCCTTTCCTACTAGATAACCAAGGTCTTCATCGGGATTCTGGTCTGGCAGAAATCCCACTCAACCCTCCCAGCTACAGGGCCAGGATTAACAAAGGAGAAACATTGGAATAAAAAAGGTAGTATTATCAGTACAAAAAAAGAATTAAACTACCTGCTCCATTGCTCAGATTGAATATATATTGGCACATTATACAGTTCCTTTTTATATCCTCTGTATTTCTAATTAATGTTTTAGAACGAAACGTAATGATCTGCAAATCCATAAATTAATCCCGATATTTACAAGTTGAAAGTGAAAGCTGTATGAAATTCTTCACCGTCTGACAGTTTATGTATTATTATAAATGAATGTTTCAGAATATATTGATCCATAAGCTCCACCAAATATTGGATAGCATTTACATTTTAAATATCAATCATTCTAATTTTAATTATAATCCAGACCATTTGAAAAAAGTTTAATACTTTAAGTCTAATAGATATAGTTTTATGTCATTGCTTCTTGTACCAGGGTATGGTCCTGGAGACACTGGTTGTCCTCTGGTAATAATAATAATCCTTGAACTTGGACGTGCTCCCGACGTGAAAGGCTCTATACAAATGAACCTTGCTATTGTTGTTGAATTTGGTATGGCACCTTTCACCTTGGGAGGACGTCTCAAAGTGCTTCACAGGTTATACGGTAAGGTGTATTTTGTGGGCAAACACAGCAGTGTCCCATAAACAGCCATGAAGTGAATGACCAATTTTATTTGGGGGGATTGTTGACTAAGACACTGGGAGAAGCATCCTTCTCTTTTCGAGTATTGCCATGGGATCTTTAATATCCAGAACAGAGAGACAGGGCTTCAATTGACATCTCATCTGAAGGATGGCACCTCTAACAAAATAGCACATACCCCAGCACTGCATTGGAGCATTAGCTTAGACTATATGAACTCGAAGTCATGAAATGAGGTTTGAACCCACAATCTGACTCTGAGGCTAATGGGCTACCAATTAAGCCAGACTGACTGACAGGCATAGCAACACCACCAACAAATTTCACTTGAATAATGACTTTCATGTCGAATAACATCTCAAAACACTTTACAAAGATTAGAAAGAATGTACAGCACAGAAACGGGCCCAGCCAGTCCGCTCTGGCGTACTCCACACGAGTCTCCATCCATTTCTTTACTCCCTCCCATAACCTTCTATTCTCCTCTCCCTCATGTCCAGCTTCCTCTTGAATGCATCTACACTATCTGATTCAACCACCGCTTCATGCAGCGAGTTCCACAATCTCACTGCCCTCTGTGTGAAGTAGTTTCTCCTAAATTCTCTTTTTCATCCACTTGTCGCTATTTTATAATTGTGTCCCCGGTTATGCAGTCCCCAACCAGTGGGGACAGCCTATTTATGTTAACCTTAACAAACCCTTTAATGAATTCAAACATTTCTGTTAATGCCCCCTTAAACAAAATAAGACCTAACCTATCCAGTCTATCCGAATAGCAGTAGCCTGGCATGCCTTGATGTCATCCTATTTATTATATATTACAATAAATATATGATAAATACATAATATATAACATTCCACTTTATTATATATTCTGTGAAGTGCTTTGAGACATCTCAACGACATGATAAAAACACTATCAAATACAAGGATTATTATTATTATATTATCCTAGTAAGACAATGCTATACTCTTTCCATCACTGCTATATCCCTCCTATAGTGTGGAGACCAGAATTGTGGTCTAACCATGGTTTTGTATAAATTCAACTTCACATCCTCTAATATAAAGCTCAAGATCCCATCGGCCTTTTTTTCATAGCCTTATATTGTTACTTTGAGTGATTTCTGGTCTTAAACCCCAGATTTCTTTGCTCCTATACTCCTCTTAGGTTCCTGTCTAGACTCTAGACAGTTTCTTTACTTTTCCTGCCAAAGTGAATTACTTCACATTTTCCTACATTAATCATAATTTGTCATTTAAATACCCATTCTGCCAGAATGTTTATGTCTTCCTGCATTCTTCTGCAATCCCCTTCACTCTTTGCCCCACCTCTCCCCCTCCCAGTTTGGTGTTATCTGCAAATTTTGATACCACACTTCTTATACCTGAATCCAAATAATTTATGTATATGATGTACAGTAGCAATACTAACACAGATCCCTGAAGAACACAACTCCCACCCTCGCTCGCCTCCACTGGCTCCCCATCCCCAGAGGATCGATTTCAAGATCCTCATCCTCACCTACAAGGCCATTCATGGCCTCGCTCCCTCCTACCTCTCTGACCTACTATCCCCCTACCTACCTGCCCGTACCCTCCATTCCTCTGGCTCCGGTCTGCTCCACATCCCCCGCCCCAACCGCCCTACCATCGGTGGCCGGGCCTTCAGCCTCTCAGCCCCGAGGCTCTGGAACTCTATCCCCCAGTGCCTTCGCCGCCTCCTCCCTTTACTCCTTCAAGGCCGGTCTCAAGACCTTTCTCTTTGACCGAGCCTTCGGCTCCCCTCTCGACTCTCTACCCTCTTCTCGCTCCCTCCCTTCCGTCCCCTCACCCTGACCATTTCCCCCCTGCTCGGGTCCTGACCCAACTGTACAGCGCCTTGGGACGTCCTCCCGACGTGAAATGCGCTCTATAAATGGAATCTTGTTGTTGTTGTTGTTGTATTACTTCTTTCCAGCCTGAGAAGATACCCTTAACTCCTACCCTTTGCTTTTGGTCTCCTAAGCATTCTTTAATCCATTCTGCTACCTCTCCCACAATTCCACATGCCCTTATTTTAGTCATGAGCGTCTTATGTGACACTTTATCAAAAGCTTTCCAGAAATCCAGATACACTACATCCACTTCATTTTCCTCATCCAGTAAGGTTGGTCAAGCATGACCTTCCTTTTGCTGTTCTTATTTATATCACAGAGACAACATAGAAACCCCAAACAAGGCAGGAGATGGAGGCGAGTGAAGGTGCAGTGAAAGGGGGGGGGGGAATTAAAAAGTCTTCTGAAGGCAGGGAACAGATGGTGCGATATGACAAAATTCTGGGAGACAATTTCAGAGAGTAGAGATAAAGGGCCAAAAGTTCACCCAGCATCGGAAAGGAAGAGAAGGGCATCGAACATGGAGTTGGAAGAGCAGAGGCAGGGGAGTGGGACTTCAGGAGATCCCAGAGGTAGGATTGGGCAAGAGAGGCACAAGTGGTCACATCTGAGTGTGAATGGTGGGTGTTGATAGGCTATTTAACTGCAAGGGGAATTGCAGCCAAACCCAATGCTCTTTTCATCTAAAGAACTTGCATATATCTTCAGACAGAGGAGATGGATACTGGCTCCCTAATTGATTTTGCCCTCACTAATATAGAGATCTGAAGCCACATTTAGCACCTCAGGTACAACCCCAGCATGATCCACCAACTCAAAACACACTCAGTATAGAAATGTGGGATCTTCCCATAAACTTGCCCAGTTTTGGCAATCACTTTTAAGTTTGCTTTTTTTTTTTCCCTTTACCAAAAATGGATGTTAGACCTCAAGAACCACTTCAGTTGTTTTATACATAGTTCAGCCTGGAAAGTTAGACTCAGTTCGCTGAGGGTTTATCCAAACAACAGAACTAGACGGACCTCCCAAAACGGGGCTAATGAGCACAGAACTGGCAGCTCTTACAAGTATAGACTTTTTTTTCTTCTTGCGTGCAGCATTATTGTGTGTCTCACTGTCCGAACACGCTTGAGATATCTGTCGGAGTGGTATGGCTGAGGAGAAAGAAAATAATATTAGTCCAGGTAACCAGATAAGTTTGTAGACATAACTGACATATTGGGGGTTGTTTTGTGATTTCATTTCCAAATGTATTGTTGTGGATTATGTGATATTCATTGGTTAGTTATATGAAATTGTACATATAAATTACTATGTAATGCAATAGAATTATGTAATTTAATGTTATATTTATAAATTCACCGTAATCTCAAAGAGACCTAACAGTTCAGATCAGGTGGAAGAACTAAGTTGCATTGAACTAAGTCTCTGGATATTGATCCAAAGTGACTGACCTTTAAAATAATCTGTACCAACTGAATGCACAAGCGTAACAAAGGGATCACACAGTTTTGAGCCTTTGCTCTCGCTTATCATGCCACAGTTCTTTCTCATTATACTTTTGGTTAATGTGGCAAAGGATTATGTTTTTCAGTCAGTGTGAATTGTTTGATAATTCCTTTCAAAAAGAACCACAGAAATAAGTTTAGTAATTAAATTACCTGAAGGATGATTATTCGTCAGAAAGTTTTCTTGGACGGTAAGCACGTTAGCATATTCAGCTGCTTCAATATCATCACTGGCTGGTCGCTGTAAACTTTTCCATGGCAATGTGGAGTCGCTCATTTCTTCACATTTAAAAAAGTGATACAATTTAGGTTAGGTTTATTATTTTGACTACTATCATATTCAGAAATGATTAAGCAAACAGGTACACTCTTGTTGACCCATGAGTCACCTAAATTGACTTTCACAAGCCTGAAACTTTTTTGGGGGAGGGAGGAATTATTACCCCAGGAAAGCATCTGCCAATCGAATAGCAACCAGATTCCTACTTACTGCCAGGTAAGTGGAGTAAGGAAACTTGCCTAAGGTTTTTTCCTGTTTTTTCCTGATTCTCAATCTGTGTCAAGTTAGTTAATCTCCCCTCGGGCAACATTTGAAGCACTTTATTTGGCTTCAAATTTCTCCACGTTATGAGTAAAATAAATTAACCACTTAGTTTCATTCTCCCAATTGCTATCCACTGTTGTACTGTGGGTGCGTGTGGTTGTTGGGTGAGAACAGAATCAGGCTCAGTTGTGATTCCTTCCACAGTTGAAAGTTGTGATTCCTTGACAATCATTGTCTGGACTCACACGTGAAGAATAATCGCTTGGACAAGGTCTTAGGAGAGTTGTTGGTGCCCTTGGAGCTGAACTTGGCAAGGTTCAGTATTTTAATAGAAAAAGTGGAAGAGAAAATTGCCGGGAAGTAGAAAATTCTCATTAAATAATTCATTCAAAACTTCAATCAAAATTTAGCAAAAAGCATTCATAGCCAAGGATCCTTTGATTATAAAATGTGGTTCACTGTGCTTATCAGCATTTCGCATACCCAAAGTCCCAGTGGCAAAGTGAGGCATCCCACAAACACATCATGTACAATATAGTTGCCTCCACTCTGCCTAACAATAAGCAATATTGCCATCCTCAGAACAGCACTGTCTTCTGCAACAAACATTATTTAAAAAGCTTGAATGGTCTCACCAGATAAAAAGCTCTAAATGAGATGAGATAAAGTATATGTTATCATGTTAGCAGGGTTACAGAAACTAGAATCAGGAATTACATGAATTAGAATAATCAGGAGCTGCAGACATATCTGATTGATGTAACCCATTATTTTTTTAGTGATGGTATCAGTTGGGTAATTTTGCAGAAACCTACACCAGACTTAAAAATATCCAAACTAGACAAGAAATCCACTCAAATATGCTATCTATGAATGGAAATGTTCATGCGTCTGGAATGTGCACTCTCCCCCTGGAGAGATGCAACCTACATACCTAATTCCAGAAAATATTTGGTGCAGGTTAGTGAGAGCCAAGGCTTGGAACCTGAATGTATGCCTAGGATAAACACATTTTAATAAGCTAAAATTACACAGCTTGCTATTGAGAGTACCAGCTGGAAAGCTTCCTGTTGCTTGTCCAGCTGGGATAACCTTATCTGTAAGGGCATTGGTATGCTGGGTATAAGAGCCTAGTGGAAAAAAATGACTGCCTTAGTGATCAGTCTGCCCCTCCAAGTCTGCTGATAAGGCAGGCTGACTGGTCTGTCATCAGCAACACCTTGGAGACCTGCTTGTCTGCCTGACTGAGGAATTGGACTGCTGAAACGCCACAGAAGATTGGCTGTGAGGTGTGTCACCTTGGAGGTAGCTCAGCCCCAAGGAGACCTTGTTTACTGAGCAATACAGCTTAGCATGAAATGTGTAACAGAAATGTCACCATCCTCCTGCCCACAGCTTAGATACATATCCCTACCTATTGAGCAAAGGTTCGACCTGTTGGAAGTGCAGTGCTTGACCAGCAAGTTCAGGATCCGCATTCTCACCTTCAATTCCCTCCACAGTCTTGCCCCACCCTACCTCTGTAACCTCCTTCAACCCTAAAGACCTGTCTGCTCCCCTCACTCAGCAAACATCAGCCTGTTTCATGTCCCCCAACCTAATTGCCTCACTATTGGCAAGCAAGCTTTCAGCCATTTCAGCCCTGCTTTCTAGAACTCCATCCCACAGTCCAGCCAACTCACTCCCCACATTCAAAGCTCATCTCAAGACATACCTCTTTGACCATGCTTTCAGTCATCTTTCCCCTCCCCATCCCCTTGAGCTCCCAACCCCAACTCGGCTGCCCAGTCACCATATCAAGTACTTTGAAGGGCCCTCCTGACATGAAAGGCACCTTATAACAATAACAAATTGTATTGTAAAATACTGCAGTGGGTGAATTCCAGAATGAGAGAACTTTTTGTTCGTTCTTGGCCCAAAAGCATCAATACAAAAATTTGCTTCTACTGAAGACAGAACAAAGAACAAAATAATCCGACATTCGGGAAAGTGGTTATTTGTGAAAATACCTTCAACATTTGATGAATGATGTTCATGTTCAAATGTTATAGACAGTTTCCTGTTTTTGTAAGACATCACATCTGCTTGAGAAAACATACAAAAATATTACTTGCCAGTCACCACTGTAGGTATTCTCCATAGTAGTTCTTGCATTAACGCAAAATCTAAGAAAAGTGTAGCATGTGTGTATTTTGTAGACAAAGGCAGCAGCCAATTTGTACACAGCAATGTTCCTTAGACAGCCATGAATTATATGACAAATTTTACTTATATTTAATATCCTGTTTAATTGTGAATGTATATTTAGAATATTAATAATATTATTATAATAATAATTGTGAATATTGTAAACACACCGCAGTACAGAAGTCATTGGCACACCTTACTTGACTTGAAGCTACTAATTACCTGAAAATTCATTCCAATTTTATATACTGTATATATAAATGCAAAGATCGAGTTGTGTCACCACTCTACGAGCCTCAAACAAGATCTTTGCATAAACATACTGGATAATTAGGAGCTAATTAAGTGCAATCATAATATAGGAAAATCCATATGCATAAATAAAATCTGTGCAGGAAACTGTTGATTGCATCTGAAAGCTATGGTGAAGTACCTAAATTCGCATAAGTGGGCACTGTAGTTTCTGTTGATTGAATCTCACTGGAAGTAGTTAAATGATCTGCGGGCCAGGTCTCATTTTCTTCCTGTTGAATATCATTGGCGTATAAACTGGATTCATCATCCAATAATCCAATGCAATTATAATCCAAGTTTTCACCTGCATTGAAAAAAATGATCACTAACATTGACAAAGGAATGGATTTGCCACTGTGGGCATAACAAAACAGAGGGTATATAGGACATCATCTGTATATGGGGTATATAGGCCTCTCCTCTTACCTCAACCTTCAAGGTTCTGTCCTTGAATGGTTCTATCTCTCACACCGGCTCCACTTTGTCTCCACAAATGGCTTCTCCTCCAGCTCCCACACCATCTCATGTGGTGTTCCTCAGGGCTCTGTCCTCGGTCCTCTCCACTTCAAACTCACCTTCAAGGCCCTCCATGGTCTTGCCCCCTCCTACCTCTCCGACCTGCTAACTCCTTATCAACCTGTCCACTCCCTCCACTCAGCAGCCTCCGGCCTGTTCCTTGTCCCTCCGGTTGGCCCGCTCCACCGACGGCGGTCGGGCATTCAGCCTCTCTGCCCCCACTCTATGGAACTCCATTCCACATTCCCTTTGCTTCACTCCCTCCTTTGCCTCCTTCAAGGCTCGTCTCAAGACCCTCCTCTTTGACCGAGCCTTCGGCCAACCTCCTTCCCCGCTCTCCACTGTCCCTGATCCCAACCCCCCGCTAAGGTCTTAATCCCTGAGAGTTCAGCATCTAGGGACGTCCTCCTGACATGAAAGGTGCCTTTTAAATGTAATTTTGTATTGTGTCATGTTCAGCAAACTTAAGAAAGTACAAAGTTATAATTCATATTTTTTTTAAAAAAAGGATCAGGAACAAATATTCTACATTAATATCTCCTTTTTTTAAGTATAAATCAGTGTGTGGCTTCTACCAAAGCCTTTGAAGTCTTTGGTTGATGCTCTTACTCACATCACTGGGGATAGGAACATTGGATCAGTAACTTTACACAGCAGTTTCAACTATAACAACCCATAGCATCTATATACATAAAAGAACAGCAAAATTACATTTATATAGCGCCTTTCACATCGGGAGGACGTCCCAAGGTACTGAACCATCTTGAATATGATGTTATGATTAATTAACAGAATATGATTAATTAGAAAGGTAGGGTCTAACTAAGTTTTCTAATGTGAATGTTTCTAATGTGAATGTTGTTATGTAGGCAAACACACCAGCTAATTTGCACCTCCATTATCCTAAAAACAACATTGGGATAAGTAGCCAATAAACTACCCCATTGATCCTTGGTAAACCTATTTGCATACCATCATAAAAAAAATCACTGCATTTGATATAAGGCCTTAACACATTATCTAGAAATCTTAAAGGCTTTCACATGATATACTCTAAAGTGATGTGATAGTGTGTATTTTTTATTATTATTATTGATGACAAGATACATCCCAAGTCCCTTGTAAGAGAACATAATTTCCTTAATGGTCAACGAGACTGATATGAATTCAAATTCAGTCCTCAGATTCACATTCCAAGAGAATGCTGCTTTTGACTCTCTGTAGCAAAGTCCTAAATTTACCTGAATGTTTATTCCTAGAATCCATTTATACTGAGGAAATACCTTTGCTAGTCGATGGCTCAATTCCAATATTAGAGAACTTCCTGCTTTTTCTTGGCTCAAAGACATTTGTAGTGAAGCTTTCTTCTGCTGAAAACAGGGAGATTAGAATTATCCAAAATTCTGGGAAATGGTTCAGAAATATGCAAATAAGAAAATATATTTTACTTGTGAAAATACCTTCAACATTTAATGGGCCATAATGCCATTCAGCTGCTGTAGACAGTTTTCTATATTTTTTTCCTTGAGAAAATATAAACATTTAGTTGAGACTCACAACTGTAAGGTTTTCTCCACAGCAGCTTTTGCATTAATATGAAACTGAAGGATGTTTGAGACACAACAGAGTACAACATTATCCAATATTCTAGGGTACAATTCAATAATATTAAAGAAAACATACTATGATTAGATAGAGGACATTATTCTGTCAAAGTCCCGTTGAAAAGACAGGAAGCTCTGGGGAATGTGAGAGCCTGGGGGAAGAGAGTAGACATGGCGAATGTAGGAGCTCAGGGGAATGCCAGAGACCTTGGAAAACCCAGATTATAAACTTAAACCCTAGTCTGGGAATTGAACCCTCAATCTTCTGACCAGAAGGCATAATTCCACGAAAAATAAACTAAAATCACACTGCTCAGAAATATTTAGTGAAGCAATCAGTTTTGCTAATGAAATTACCTTCAACAGCTGGTCGATAGTTTTCATATTCGGATATGGTAACTAGTCTCCTGTTTTTGGAAGCCTTTATGTTTGCTTGAGAAAACACACACAAGTAATTCAATTGAGATTCACACGGAAGATATCATTTTGCACAGTAGCCCGCATCAACACAACACAAAATATATAGGAAAATATATTTTCCTATACCTTTCTATTTAATGATCTGTTTCCATTTTGAAATAACATATTTTGCTTACTTTTTTCCACTAGTTCCACTTTTTCCAAGAAGCATTAGTATGGCCTAATTGTTTTTTTTGTGAGGGGAATTCCCTCCCTCCCACACCCCACCCACTACAAGAATCAATCAAATTTCAAAACACTCATATTTAAAAGTGAAAGTAGCTTGATCTGATTCCCGGTGTCAAAGACTCACACAACACCATTCAAATTCCTGCTCCTCAAACTACCAAAAGGCAGCACAGGTACCAGACCATTCAGTAATGACTTCATGATCAATGATTAATCCAATAAATATAACCAAGAGCAGTTAAATCTGCATTCCTGGTCTTAATAATAATAATCCTTGCATTTAATATAATGTCTTATCAAGTCTTCGAGACGTCTCAAAGTGCTTCACATAGTATATTGTAAAGTGAATTGTCTGCATATTTTGTGGGCAAAACAGGACAGCCAGTTGCATACAGCAATGTCCCACAAACAGTCGTGGATTGAAGTGACCAACTTATTACTATTATTATTTTTTGAAGCGATCCTCCAACTGGGTTCCTACTTACTGCTGGGTAAACAGAGACGCCTGGAGTAAGAAAACTTGCCTAAGGTTTCACCCCCGCCGGGAATCAAACCCAAGTCCTCTCGCTTGCGAGGCGAGTATTGTAACCACTACAGGGCAGATCTTTAGCCAAAAGGCTGAGAAGTGATCCCTGATCGTACTTCTAAAAGATAATTGTATCAAGTTGAATGAAAAACCAAAATGATACACAAATTGCTTTGCTTGCTTCTTGTGCAAACTTATTGTGGTGTATATCATTTGCACATGATACAAGGAATTGTGTTTACCTCTATTTACTGAAAAAGCAGATCCAAGCAATTTCCATCATCCAAAAGAATAGTGCAAAAATTTAAACTTTGGGAGATTAAATTTATTGATCTGTCAGTCACTAACCTCTGAGTAATACACAAATTACAGTTTGCTTATGATTTGATTGAGCAGTTTCTTCATTGCACAAAGGTGGAAAGAAGCAGTAAAACACCTTAATGAAGTTTCATGCCATTCTGGAGAGAATTGAATTAAAATCTTGAAAAATTGTTTTACAGCACTGAAAGGGCAGCCACAAAGGAGCAGGGAGACAAAAGGCTAAAAGTGGAGATCAGAGAGAAAATGTGGTCAGTTACTTGGCTTTCACGTCTAACTCTTGAGCGACAAAAGAAAGTGAATTGGTCTAACCTATAAATATGAAGCTTCATCATTTGCACTTTAATAATATTTTTTAATAATATTCACCAACAAAATATAGTCAATTCACTTTACAGTATATTCTGTGAACCACTTTGAGACGTCTCAATGATGTGATAAGGCGCTATATCAAATTCAGGGATTCTTATTATTATGAGAAGTGATACATTACACAAAAAATTGGTTTAAAAATAATTTACAAAGATAGTCTGTACATTTCAGTTAGTTTTTTTAAAAGAAATAAAGATAGATTATATTTTTAACGTCCTTCCATGCAACACATCATTCATAAGCTGTGCAGGCAAACTGCTCCTAGCTCCTCTTAATGCTGCAATGTAACTGCCCGTGAGATATGCACAAGGGCAGCCTAAGGTGAATTATATTGTGATTTTTTCTCTCCCTTTCTGTAATGAAATTCCTTATCTCACCTCTGCTTGGCACCTCAATCTAATGACCCCATTGATGGGAACTCAGCATGCACGGTGCGAGCGGCTTTTGCTCACCCTGAGGCCACGCTGTTGTCATTGTTTGTGTGTGTCTCTCTCTCCTCTGTAGGTATTTGTGAGTGTTTCTATGAGAGTGTGTCTGAGTGTGTGTGTGAGTGTGTATCTCTCTGTGTCTGTGAGTGTTTGTGTGTGTCTATAAGTGTTTATCTCTGCGTGTGTCTCTCTCTCCTTGTCTATGAGAGTGTGTCCCACTCTGTGTCTGTGAGTGTGTGCCTCTCTATCTATGAGTTTGTGTGCCCGGCTTCATTCATCAGAGAATCGAGCACAAAACACTCATTCTCACTTTCAAAGCCCTGTCTACCTCTTCCACTGTGCCTTTGGACATCCTCCCACCTCCACCCACTGCCCTTCACCTCTCCTGACCCCAACTCCAGCTTGAGTCCAAAAACCCCTGACTGTCTAGCGCCCTGGGACATCTTTCCGACATGAAGGACGCTATAAAAGTGTAATTTGTTGTTGTTGTTGTGTGTGTCTCTCTCTTTCTGTTAGTGTGTGTGTTTGTGAGTGTGTCTCGGTGTGTGTTACTTTCTTTGGGTTGTTTGGTGGATCTCTAGGCCTTGAAGTGTAGTGTGAGATGGAAACAGAGCATTCGGCATTCTGGCCTGCTCTGGTTTTTGCCCACACACCCCAAGCCCCAAATAGGTCACGACTTTTTGTTAAAGAAACCTTTTAAAAAAATTTGCAACAAACTAATGTGTGTTATTTCATCATGTTCAGTTTTACCAATAAAGTGAAAACGTGTAGGTTGGCAATAAAAAGTACCTTTCAATAGCACCAATCAACTTCCTGAAAATATCCACAAAATTTGTCAAATTCCCCCCCACAATTTTTGACAAATATTTCCATAATTTTCTACTGGCCCTGACCATACTTTCATTAAATTCATTAATTACCCAAGTCTGCAGTCAGTGAAAATAAAATTCTATTCGAATGTTGATTCCTCCCATATCTTACATTCTTCCTTCCTAGAAAAAGAGAACAAATTCAATTTTTTATAGAAATAAATTCTGCCGTAACACAAAATTGAACACTAAATTTTTTACAAATTTCAACAACGTCTTTCTACGTAGCAAAGTTTGAAAATGAATTCATTGTCAATCAGCAACATTCATTTCCACTGATTCAAATAAAATTAATCAGTGTAAGATACTGACCTTTTACTTAATGGCTATGATCTAGTACTGTTGCTTGAGAACCTAAATTACCTTGAGAGTGAGCTGTAGTTTCTGCAGATTGAATTGCTCTGGAAGTGGTTAAATGATCTAATCGCCATGTCTCATTTTCTTCCTGCTGAGGTTGATTAGTTTGCCTCATGAATGCTTGACCAAGTGCAAGCTGAGTTCTTGAGATTTCCACTACATTTAAAAGAAAGTGTTGTTTAGTTTTAATGTTGTCTTTTATCACCTACTCAATACAACTGCTCATCAGTGTAAAACTTAAATGTATTAAGATTATAAGTAAACCACACAGCATGTGTAAAATAGATCTAATTAACCAAATGATTTTTATTCTTAGTAGCATAATTAATAGACTTCACATTTCACATATTTTAAGATATAATGAATAGTTTAGGTTATATATTTGAATTTATAATAATATTTGCATACAGTGCCTTTAACATTGGGAGGACATCTCAAAGTGTTTCACAGGATTTACTGTAAAGTATAATGTGTGTATTTTGTAGGCAGATGTGGCAGCCAATTTGCGCACAGCAATGTCCCAAAAAGCTAAAAGCTGAATGACCCAATTTTATCTGTGAGAAAACTCCCACTCCTTTTCTAATAGTGTCACAGAATCTGTAACATCCACCAGAACAGAAGGACGGGACCTCAGTTTAATGTCTGATCTGAGAAAGGCACCTCTAACATCACTCCCTCAGCACTGTTTGGAGTGGTTAGCCTGGAGTTCAAAGTCCCAACGTAGGTCCAAACCCACAACTTGCTGATTCAGAAGTGAGACTGTTACCAGCTGAACCAGGATAAACAAGTATTATGTCATATATTCAAATTTGTCCTTAAAGCTAACACTTGTATTTTTTCCATTAAAGGCATTTGGTCTATTTTGTAAGTAACCTCTACTAGATGAATTTAACTTTCGTTCTTCTAAAACTATATAACAGAAGCTTCACCTTTTCTATTGATTAAGTTGGTACAGATACTAAGTCCGTTACCATTACAACCTATCTCAAATAACATTAATTAGCCCTTATAACAACAAAACAACAAATCACATTTGTATAGACTTTTCATATCAGGAGGACGTCCTAAGGCGCTGAGCTTTATACATTGAGCCTCTGATTTATTTCGTTTTCTGGACCTTTTCTTCATTTCCAATTTTCACTGTACTGTTGTGTTTATACTGCCCAGCAGTATAGAGATTTACACTTTTGGCTCTACTTATAGTTTGAATTTTTTTAAAAAATGTATTTCAGCATCCACACATGTGTATTGCAATATTGGAACAACCATTGATAAAAAAAACTCTTATTTCAGGAAATGTATTTTTATCCAGACTTCTCTGAAAGTTATTTGGAAACTATGGGCTATATCCTCACCACCTGCTCCGATCAGTTTGGGTATGACTTTTCTGGATTATTTCTCAGATGCTATATTTCATAGGAGATGTTCCAGTTTATTCTTCTCCAAATTTTATTGTTCCTTTCTTCTAATTGTTTCTCTAAGAATGTGAGGGAGCAAATGTACTTAAGCTCTCCGAAGTATAGTGTATAGTGAAGGGCACTATATAAATGCAAGTTGTTGATATAATCTGAAACTCTTGCCCGGGATTTAAAGTATATTTCTTTTAGCCAATGTACATTTAGATTTGACCAGTTAAGTAAAAAAAAAATTTGACCAGTTAAGAGTGGTGTACATTGCAGTCTTGAGAATATTCAAATTCCTGCCAAGAACATTTTTAATTTTTAATCAGATTCAATTAACAGCACATTTAGCCTATGTTTGGACCTTGATAAACTGTCTGCTTATAATTCAGGAGTCACAGTGAAAAATGGTGGCTTTCACCCAAAGGTCTATCTATATGTGTGTTAGACTCAACATCAAAGTAGTTTTTAATGTTAGACATTGAGATGTCAATTTTAGACATTTTAGAGATTGATTATTATCCAGACATTTTTCCCACTGAGCCTTAATGTTTCATACCAGAAGTGGCATTTTGCCAACTAGGGAAATTAAAATACTGTACATATTGTGAAAAAAATATTCTTGCCTTCCATCGCATCCCAATCTTGCTACGATACCACAGGAAAATTTGCTGTACTGTTTTTAAATTATACAATTTTTCATTGTAAAAACAAAGTGGCACAAAATCGTTTATTTCCGATAATTATTTTCCTCTTTCCAGCTTTTCCTTACTAAAAGCTGTGCCAGTTTTGAGAAGCACATTTGTGCTGCCACAAGGTGATGCTTTGTAATTAGCTTTGTGGTGCCAAAATAAAAAGGCAAAAACCATTAGCACCTCCAGTGTGTTGAAACTGGTGCCCAGAGTAACAAAGTAACAAACCAAATTAACTT